TCCGCGAAGAGCAAGAGAAGGCTGGCAAGGCGCTCGCAAGAAAGGACAAGAAAGCTGTTCTGATCGATTTCGGCGAGGTGAAGAAGATCAATGCCGAGACACTTGTTGAGCGCCCTCCTCAGCTTCGTCTTCTTCGCAAGGTGCTTGACGAGCATGGTAACCCTCACTCCTTCCGGCTTCACGACGCCAGCAAAGCTGCTCACTACACTTGCGAGTGGGGCGCACGCGAAGACGGCATGCTTCTCGTGGGCATCGACCGCTACGGCTTCGGCGCATGGACGCAGATCCGCGACGACCCGGAACTAGACATGGCCGACAAGTTCTTCCTCGAAGAACATCGCGTGGAGAAGAAGGAAGAGCGCAAGAAGGGAGACGAAAAGAGCATCTCGTCGCCCGGTGCTGTCCACCTTGTTCGCCGCTCGGAATACCTGCTCTCTGTCTTGCTCGCCAAATATTCCAACGACGCTGCTGCGCAGAAGGCCGTTGAGAACCACCACCGCAGCAAGAAGACGGTCAACGGCCACCGCCGTGGTGACGATCTCTCCCGCTCGCCGGTGCCTGCCAAGCGGTCCAGCATGCTGAAGAACCGTGAACAGCGCGATCGACCAATCTCGAACAGTGACTACCTCAATCTCCGCCCGCAGAATAACACCAGCGGTGGCGGCGAGCGTCTGTTGACACCTCGGAGCGATTTTAAGCGGAAACATGAGCACGATCATAATGATCGTGACCGCAAGCAACGCCGAATTGTCGACGGCGACCGCCGTGACAGCAACGGTGTGGGACCAAGCAGCCACAAGGACGGCCAGCCCAAGGAAAAGCGTAAGAAGCTTGACGCCGAGACCCTCGAGCAGCTCAAGGCGGCCCAGAGCAAGGCTGTGCTGCGGTTCGAAGAGCTCATGAAGCTCGATGACAGCAAGCTGGATTACCGGGACGACGAGCAAGTTATGTGGTCCCTTCTTAAGCCGGTACGCGACAACTTCAAGACAATTATGGAGACAACGCCAGAGCGGGTCGAGAAAGCCAAGGAGCGTGCTGCGATTATGGGCAAAGAGCTGCGACAGATTGGCGACTGCGTGATTGGCCTGAAAAAGAATCAGACCATCCCGGCAGCCACCCTCGACGCGCTCATGCCCCGGTTTTGGGACTTTTTGTCGTCGATTTGGCCTATCAACGAGGTCGCAGTGTCCGGAAGCCAACTCTCCAAAATGTACGAAGCGCTCCGGGCCAAAGATGAGAAGGGAAGCGGCGGCGGCAGCACCAGCAACAATGGCAGCAGCCGGCCCGATCGGTCTAGCCGCGATGACCTTGAAGACGGCGAAATTGATAGTGAACGCGACAGTCACAGGGATTCGCGGCGCGATCACGAGCACCGAGACAGCCGAGACAGCCGGGAGAGCCATGAGCACCACGACCGCGACCGCGACCGGGATCGAGATCGAGACCGTGAGCGTGACCGCGACCGGGACAGAAATCGCGACCGCGAACGTGATCGAGGCGGTGACCGCGGCAGAGACCGTGAACGTGAGCGCGAACGCGACCGCGATGCCTTTCGCCGCAGCGCTGGGCTCTTGGGCGACCTGCGTCGCGACGACCGCCACGGCAGCAGCGAGTCGAGGTCGTCACCCTATGCCGCCGAGACAGGCGACCGGCTGAGCTTCCGCAAGGACCCGCGCCGCGACTACCAGCCGCAGCGAGAATGGGACAGGCTGCGGCCCACGCCCTGGCAGCAGCAGCAGCAGCAATACACGGCCTCGCGACCCAACCCGTACTAGGAGGAACGGGATAAGCGCTCGAGAGCTCCAAAAACGGACCGGTGGCGTCCGTCGCGGTCTAGATCGCGGTCGCCGAGACGCCACTCTATATCAAGATCGCCGAGACGCCATTCTGGGTCGCGAACGCCCACGGCCAGGCGCCATTCTGGGTCAAGGTCGCCCAAACACCGGGACACGCCATAACAAGAACAAACACCATGGCTCTTCACGAAGAAAGAAAAATGTTAATGGGGACGCAAAGTTGCGTAGAGGCACGAGATGGACGGAGGACTCTGGGAACTAGAAATAGGATAGGAAAGGAAAAAGCATGTCCTCTGGGTAATCGCCATCATTGTATTGTTTATGTTGATTTTGCTTTCTTCATTCATTCATACCGCTTGTTCTATTGTTTGTTGTTTGGTTGGCATGTCCTTACTTTGTCATCGTGTATCTCACGGCTGAAGCCAACGAGAGACAAGACATAGGACGGAGAGCACCGCATGGAGACTCTCTTGTACAAGAAAAGGCGGGTTTGGTTTGCGTTTTGTGTGGTCTTATCTTTTCTGTTCCTTTTCTCGATGTTTGTTCTGTCCCATCTGTTCCGACATACAAAAAAGGGCTGCATATGGCAAAGGAGTTTTTGGATTCCCAAGGAGGCGGATACAAATAAAAAGGGGGCTTGTGATCTGCGAGGAAAAAAGCTAGACCAGAGGACGTACACCTCTAAGGATACAAGCACCAAACATTGTTCAATAAATACTATTATGACTGTCACGTTCCTTGCCTGTCTTGGTTTGAATCTGTGGTGTCCCCATAAGTGGTGTCGTCTCTCGGCGCAGACTTGGCTTTCATGATACTTGTCTGTTTGCATATTCGTGTGGCGAGATATTGTTACTTTGCATCCCGCAAAAGACCATGCATATCAGTGAATTCATTTCTTTTCTTGCCCGTGATTTATTTGGCCTCCTTGTTCGTCTCGGTCGTTTCGTTCCTTTGAAAATGCAGTTCTTCACTTGTGGTGTCGTCTATCTTCATCATACAATTATTCCAAAATAACGTTTGGACCGGCTCTCATTCACTGCATTGTCTTACAACGTCTAGGCAATATATAAGACGCATATTTGACATTTCGTCGTCGTTGGGCACTAACAACACAGAAGTCACACGTGTTGTTCAGGGGATATTCCTGAAAAGCCCGCCGCAATATTGGGCCGTCTTGCCCTTGCACGTGGAAGGCTTCTGGCGGTTTATTTGGCCAAAAACGTGAGACAAAATGGGCGCTGCCTTTTATTATCTCTTTCCCTTTTCTTTCCCTTTTCCCACTTCGGATTGTCGTCCTCTTCCCATAAATGGGCTTTCGCAGGGGAGACAAAGTTTGACAATGGTGCAGCCAACCCGGAAAGTCCTCGTATTCCTTTGCTATTGCTTTTTTTTTTTAAAGTGTTTCCTTCTCCCAAACATTTTCTCTCTGGGAGTTCCCGCGCCGTCTTTCCCTGTCATGGCTACCCTCCCTCATCGCCCCCGCCACCCGCCTTGCAGCGTCTCTCACTTTGGGCCTTGCATATCCCGCCAATCGACTCGTATCCTTTGATCAGAGCGGACAAATTTTTTCAATGGCCGCGGAACCGCCGTTGTCGGGATGCAATCAAGTCCGCAACACCCATGTCTGGAGTTGAAATCGGGGAATCTAGGACCATCTCATTTTTTCCTCCTTTATTCTGCACGATGTGGCAGAGTGTGGTAGATTCTGAACAATATCTATTTACGACATATTGGGTAGACCTTTTGCAAATCGTGCAATTTTAGATCTGTTCTTGACAAATGGGCCCTGGCCAGATTGCGCGCTATTTCCTGGCAACGATGTCCTATTTGCGCTGTTCCTGGTTTATTTTTAGCGTTCCAATGCCACCGCCTGGCCACACCCAGGTACGGGATCGTGCTCTCCCTTTAGCTGTGAAGCTTCACTAGTCATATTAATTACTGAGTAGATATTTTTCTGGGGACCACCCACTTGGGCCTCGTTCCGGTTGGGTTCGATGGAAATGAATGGCACATCCCAGCCAAAATGCCACTGAAACTCAAGAGCCATATCTGGGCACTGTCGTTAGCGGTGGACCTTGCTGAAAGCGGACTGTCCTTTGGTGAGGACTTGGAAAGTTCGCTGCATTCGCTGTGATTGCCCGAACAAACGTAAATGTTTCAGTAACGAATGGAGCAGGTACGAACAAAGTATTTCGTAGCTGCCGTACCTGGTGGGGCTTGCACCTCAGTGGCCCTGTGGGTCGTCTTCAGGGGCAAAATGAGGAAAGAATGACAGCCGCAAACAAAATACAACATACAGCTTACAACAAATCAGGTTTTGCCCCGCCCAGCAACCAAAGAGCTTCCCCTCCTTGCTGTTGCTGCCGTTTGTGGTCAGTGTTGACACCGTTGACAGTGCAAGAGGCAACCGCGACTGACGCCAGGTGAAGAGCTCGACTGTCGCAATTTCCCAAACGGGACATACCTGAAAATAACTCGGCAGGCGCAACGTATTATTTGCTCCATCTTTTACTTCTCACAGTGACATCGACCTCTTTCCATCTCCATGGTAATACTTTTGTGCCACTACAAAGGAAAGAGCTATTGAGGGATGGCGGCAAATGGAGAAAGAAGCTCCCAAGCTCGTCTCCTTTTCCCGCGGGTTCTTTGTCATTCCTGCCAGCCTCCTCGTTCATTCCTTCCCAGTCTGCATCCAAACACCTCGCCATCGTCGAGGCTTCCTTTTTCTTTACAGAGGCAGTGACCCACATATCAAGAATATCGTACATTGAGCACGCAAGTGCTAAAACGGAAAGGAAAGAGGGCGCCGAAAAGGGAAGAAAGATAATATTGCACCGTAGCGACCACGGCCAAGCTTGTACCTTCTGCCAGCGATCCCCCTCCACCCCCCTGTCGACCTTTTTTATTTGCCGTACTGTCATACCCAGTCTCCAATCTCCCTTTGTCACTTCTTCACAGAACCCCCTGTACAGTTTGCCCCCTTTCTATTCGTTGCCCGAAGCTGGTTTCGAGCTTCTGGACCTCTCTTATTCTCTGCTGTTTGTTCTTTACTATCCTCCTTCCTCCTCTTTCTCTCCTCTCTCCGACTTTTCCCCTTCTCTTTTCCACATCTCCAGATTCTCCAAGCTCTGCCTCCAAGCTCTGCCTCCAAGCTCTGCTACCACAGCTTCGTTTCTTGTGAGTTGCCGTTGCCCAGTTGCTGCTATGTTTGTGTTCTTTTCTCTGTTCTTGCCCTCGCCTCCACCTGCGCCCCATGTCCTACCGAGTTCTCTTGCCTCTCGATGCAGCCTCTTTACCGACAAGACAGCTTGGCGAACGGCCCTTGCTCGGCCTACTCTGCAGAACAACTTGCAGAACACGGCTGCAGAGCTGGGGGTCAACCAAGACATGCACAAGACGCACACCGGCATGGACGAGATCGATGAACCGAACAACCGCAAACCTCCTACGACTACAAGCGGTACAATCCAGCGAGTGTAGCGCCGGCATCCCGATAACCCCCCGACTAGAGTTGCGACCTGCATCATCTTTGCCTGTCGGTTTCAAATGCCTGCAAGCCTGCTTGCAGGCTGCTTGCGACCTGCTTGCGCCCTGCTTGCAGCTGCATCTGCGCTCGTCCCGACCGCCAACAACCGCTTTTAGCCTTTTCCACCAAACAGACATCTCTCAAAAGTCGCTCTTACACGCAGCATACCCACAACCCACACAACACACCCCCGCCAAAACCCTCAGCGCAACCTGCCTTACTTTTACCGCCTCCTGCAAACCTCGACCTCCCCAACATTGACTGTTGTTTTGCTGCTTTTTCCGTCCAATGATTTGATGCTACCTAACCTGGCAGTCACATTTTGATGAGATTTCATGCGTCGATCACGTCGATTACGTCAATGTAGCTAACTTTTCCTTTCTTCCCTCCAAAAAGTAACCAAACACGAAAATCAAAAGGCCTAGATCGAGGCAACCAAGAAAAAGGCAAAAAGAAATTTCTCGGTAAGCTGCCAAACTCGCGCCGACCTCCTTTCTCGACTTTCAGAAGGTACCAGGCCCTGCTGGTCCTTCCCCGGCTTTTGCCACCCCTCCCTTTAAAGCTCTCCCCTCTCCCCATTTTATGAAGCAATTCACTCTCTTTTGCTTTCGCATCGTGAAGCACACTTCAATTCTTTCTTCCTGTCTGTCGTGCTGCATTTCGCAAACCAAGCTAACTTCCGACCTTTAAGGCGCGTCCCGTCACCCCTCATTACATCACCACTTGCAGCGCAAACACCTCCACCGGATTCGCGCACCTCCACGCTCGTCTCGCAAGCGTTTACTTCCAACAAACCTCTCCACCACCATCTGCAATCATGTCCGGCGTTAAGAGCTCGCTGCCCTCTCACATCAAGGCCACTGACAGCATTGGCGGCGACGATGATGGCAAGAGACACCATGGCAAGACTCAGTCCCACATGGTAAGTTGTGCTTTCTATTTTCTACACGTGCCCCCGTGCTAAACAGGGCAGACGATTGACGATTTAACTGCGATCCTCTAGGCGTTCGAAAACACGTCCACAAACATTGCCGCTGCGCAAATGCGCAATGCCCTGACTGAGCTCGCCGAGACCGTCACAGACCCCGCAGAGAAGAAGGCAAGTCCGATTCCGCCATTCATCCTGCATTCTGGTGCAAGACGAAATGCTAACACTTCCTTAGCTGTTTGAGACGGAGATGGACAACTTCTTTGCTCTCTTCCGCCGGTACTTGAACGACAAGGCCAAGGGCAACGCTGTGTACGTATTGTCTGAGAACGACAGCCGCCACGGATGGCACATTGCGTTCGGTCCGGAGCCACAACTAACATTTACAACAGTGACTGGGACCGTATTGCCCCTCCCGCACAGGGCCAGGTCGTCGACTACGACGACCTTGGCAGCTCCGAGGGTGTTGCCTTCCTCAACAAGCTTGCCGTCCTCAAGCTCAACGGTGGTCTCGGTACCTCTATGGGCTGCGTTGGCCCCAAGTCCGTCATCGAGGTCCGTGACGGCATGTCCTTCCTCGACCTGTCGGTCCGCCAGATCGAGTACCTGAACCGCACCTATGGGTCCAACGTGCCCTTCATCCTGATGAACTCGTTCAACACCGACGCCGATACTGCCGCTATCATCAAGAAGTACGAGGGTCACAACGTCGACATCCTGACTTTCAACCAGTCCCGCTACCCCCGCATTTTCAAGGACTCCTCGCTGCCTGTCCCCAAGTCCTTTGACGACCCTACCGACGCCTGGTACCCGCCCGGCCACGGTGACGTGTTCGAGTCTCTGTACAACTCGGGTGTCCTCGACAAGCTGATTGAGCGCGGTATCGAGATCATCTTCCTTTCTAATGTCGACAACCTGGGTGCGGTTGTCGACCTGCGCATCTTGCAGCACATGGTCGAGACCAAGTCCGAGTATCTCATGGAGCTCACCAACAAGACAAAGGCCGATGTCAAGGGTGGCACCATTATTGATTATGACGGCTCGGTCCGTCTGCTGGAGATTGCGCAGGTGCCCAAGGAGCACGTCAACGAGTTCAAGTCCATCAAGAAGTTCCGCTACTTTAACACCAACAACATCTGGATGAACGTCAAGGCTGTGAAGCGTGTCGTTGAGAACGACGAGCTGGCGATGGAGATCATTCCCAACGGCAAGACCATCCCCGGTGACAAGAAAGGCGAGTCCGACATCTCGATTATCCAGCTGGAGACCGCCGTCGGTGCCGCCATTCGCCACTTCCACAACGCGCACGGTGTCAACGTACCGCGTCGGCGTTTCCTGCCCGTCAAGACCTGCTCTGATCTGATGCTGGTCAAATCGGATCTGTACACCGTCAAGCACGGCCAGTTGCAGATGAGCTCCAACCGCTTCGGTGATGCACCGCTGATCAAGCTGGGCAGCGACTTCAAGAAGGTTTCCGACTTCTCAAAGCACATTCCTTCCATCCCCAAGATCATCGAGCTGGACCACCTCACCATCACTGGTGCCGTCAATCTGGGACGTGGTGTGACTCTGAAGGGCACAGTGATCATTGTGGCCACGGAGGGCAGCACCATCGACATCCCACCTGGCTCGATCCTGGAGAATGTCGTTGTCCAGGGCAGTCTGCGGCTGCTTGAGCATTAAGCGTGTTGTATGGGTCGGGCTTGCATTTGCGTTGCTTATCCTTTGATGTTAGTCTTGTCTGGGAGCTTTTGCTTTCGCTTTTACTGGTTCTGGAATTATTCTTTTCTTGGCTTCGGATGCTTTTTAATTGCCTAATTTGCCTCCTCTTTTTTTTTGTTTTTCCTTTTTGCTCTCTTCACCTCTTTCTTCTATCTACGTAGACGGGCATTGTGCGATGCGTTTCCGAGTATCGCAAAGCCTAACCAGCGACTAAAAAAAACACAGCCAGTTTGCAAAAATACAAACCCCAAAAACACTGTACGTCAATTCGCATTAAATAGAACGGGACCATTTCAAGAAAATACGGTGAGAGGTTGAAGGCGAGTTGTATGCGAACTCGAGCCTTTGCATTTAGTAACGCTTTCTCCAGTCCCCGTGTCGGGCCTAGCACATAGTCACAGCACATACACCGAGAAGATTCTTGTTTTTCACCTGGTCACCCATGTTCCTCAGACAGGAAACGTTCAAAATGGTTGGGTATCAATATATTAATTATTTTCACTTTTGGGGGACATAAGGCATAAAGGTACAGTGGCTGTACTGATCATGATATCTTCTCGTGTTTCCAATCGCCCATCCTATTGCCCGGTGGTCGTTAGTTTGGGTTCCGTTCATTTTCGCCAGTGGGTTCCCGATCTGGCATTGCCTTCAAGGCACCCGGGTTCGACGGAACGGTAAACGGATCCGGGCGTCTTGGCGGAGAAAGCCGTATTGCCTAGGCAGCCGATTGTGCCATGACGAGTTCACGGGGCAGCTGTCTGTAAAGGGGGCCGTCCCTATTTGCCCTTCTTTGTGGCTGCCGGTGTCGCTCGGTCAGCGGCACTGCCTTCGCTCGTCGGTGTGCCAGCGGCATTGCCCGCAGAAGCAGCGGCGCCGCCACCGGAGCCAGGGCCGTTGCTGCCATTCGCACCACCGTTGCCACCAGCGTCGGCCTTATTTGGTCCGCTGCCTGAGCGGCTCGCGTGCTGGCCGCCAGTCCCAACCACAATGCGGCCTTCGCCGCCGGCGGCCGCCTTGTTCTTCTTTTCGGTGCATACCGGGCAGTACCAGGTCCCATTGGGTTCGCTCTTGAGGCCCACGCACGTCCAATGGAACCACTCAAATGGACAGTCCTCGTTGTCGCACGCCACCATGTCGCCAAAGCTTACGTTCTGACACAAGCAGTATTTGTTGTCATCACCAGCTTCCTCGTCATCGATGTCCATCCGGTCGTCACTTGAGGGTGCGCCCTTGGCCACACCACGGCCGCCTGGCTTGTCACCGGCCCGGTGCTTATTGACACCACCGCGACCAGGTCCGCCAGGTCCACTGCCGGGCCCGGACTGTCCACCCGCATTGCCAAATGCGTTGCCCACGCCACTGGAAATGCCAATGCTGTTGTCCTTTTCGCGCTTGACCAACGGCTGCGACGCGCCTGCTTCCTTATTTCCCGCACCATTGCCGTTGCTACTGGTGCCATTCCCATTCGAAGCCGAACCAGCGTTGGAGCTGGCGCCAACTTGTGAGGAGCCGCGCGTCGGTGTGGCATGCCGTGATGAGACATCGGAATCGTCGCTGGAGCTCGCGTCGGAAAGTTCGGATTCGTCCGCTGTCGAAGACGCGGCGGAGGCCTTGGCGGGTCGCTTGACGCGTGATAGCGACGTCTTGGTGGTCGGTGTGTTCGTTCCTGTGGTGCCCTTTTTGCGCCCAGAACCAGATCCTTTCTCGGGTCCTGCCGCAGCGCTTGCCGAGCCGTTAACCGCCGGCGTGCTCCCTTTACGCCCCGGCCCAATGCCAGCGCCCTTTGCGATTGCACGTGGTCCGGCGCTTCCAGCTCGTTGGACGCCGCCGGCGCCTGCGTGGTGAGACTTTGGCGTTCCAGGTCCCAAGGAAGAGTGCCGCGCAAGCCCGCTGGAGGCTGGCGGGATATTCGCGAGTGAGCTGCCCGCGCGCGGTCCACGTTTGGCCGGGGTCGTGCCTGGGCCGGCAGAGCTCTCACGCGCCTGCCGGCCCAGAATCATCGATGCTGCGGGGCTGGCGGGCGCCGACGATGAGTGCCCCTGCTGAGCCTGAGCCTGAGCCTGGCGGGCCTGTGCATTGCCGGCGCCACGACCACCTCCCACCGCAAGCACCGTGTTTCCAGCGCCGCCACCATTTAGAGACGCGGACCCGGCGACGGCATTGGTGGCGTTCTTAATCATGTCGCTAACAGATGCTGCTGGGAGAGAGGACGACGCGGCAGCAGAGGCGCGTGCAGACGCCGCTGCCGATTTGTTCGCAGCGCTCGGTCGTAGGAGGGAGGGAAGTTCGTCGGGGTCGGTAAAGCCGGGCTCGCTGCGATCGTAGAGCTGCTTTATTTGCATGTCAAGCTGGCGCGTATGGCGGTCCATGATGGTCCGCATCTTTTGCGACAGGGCCAGTTTCTCGTCGGCTAGCACTTCGGCCTTCTTAAAGTTCTCTATAATCGTCTTACGGTAGCCCTCTTCTCTTGGGTTGTGGTCGTGACTGCTGTTCGCCTTTATGAATTTTTGGATGCGGCCATCGCGCTCTTCGATGATGCGGATGCATTCGTTGTACTGGCGGTCTTTGTCGGCAATCTCGTCCTGGAGGAAGCGGATCTCCTCCGGCAGGTTCTGAACCCTATTGATCCAGTCATCTAGGATGAGCGCTGGGTCGAGCGCCTCGCCGCCGGGCGGCATTCTCTTAACAAAGTCGATGGAGAGGTCGTCTCTAGGCATGGTAACAACGTGTCAACACAGAAGAGGCAATGGAAGGGCAGGGTGCCGTGGACGACAACGCTGAGCAACGAGAAGGAAAGGCGTGCAGGTCTACGCCTGACGAGACCATGGGAAGGGCGGTGCGCGTGCTGGAGACGAAAAAACTGCAGATTATGGTGATGGGAAAAAGCATCTGCGTATTCGCAGATGCTTCAATGCGCAAAGCTTGCACACTGTCGAAAAAGCAACAAAAAATACACCAAAAAAACAGGCTGGCTGCCCTCCAAAATTGAAATGCAAAGGGCTATGAAAATGACAACGAATGTGAAATGACAACGTGTATGTTGTAAATTTTGGAAATGAGGTGAATGGGAGAGATCAAGTGGAACAAGTGTTTTTACAGATGGGGAAATGCCATAGAATACGCCGTTGAGGCAGGCGCGAATGGTGGTGGCAGGAGGCAGGAACGCCCATAAAAAGTAGTGGAAATCAGTGGATAATGAGTGTCGTAGCTTACCTCCCGTCTGCTATGTGTTGTGATTTTTTTACAATGTGAATCTAGAGGCGGCCTTGCTGCGTTGGGATGGCAAGGAAGGCACGCTAGACAGAGCGTGGACGGAAAAGGAAAGAGGGCCCGCCGAAAAATAGGTGCAGCCAGGCTTGTGGCCCCGACTCAGACGTTGCGGGTGTCGCTGCGGGAGGGTGGGTGCTGAGAGAGTCAGTCTGGACCCTTGTCGCTTGGAGATCGTAATCTTTGTGGCACCTCGAGACAAATCAGTCGCAAAAGTACGACAGTGTGAACTGGAGAGAGGATGATGAGATGTTGGTGGAGAGAGGGAAAGAGCAAGGCGAGAAGGAGATGTCCGGTGGTGCGAATATGTGTATGGGGCAATCCAGGCAACAGAGGAAGGCGCGGGACAGCCGGCAACCGCTACAACAAAAGAATAAAGGAAGGAACAAAGTTTGGTATGAAAAGAAGGATCTTGAAAGAGGTAAGAGCGACAGACAAGGGGAGTAATAGAATATTGCAGATGGATATCGAAACGTCGGGAAGGGGCGAACGGGCGCAATCAGTGCGAACTCGTCATTCACAAGAGGAAGCGCGATGCAAGTCGGCTAGGGAAAAAGTTTCAGCCTTTTCGGATCGGATAGTGCGATTTTTATGGCTGTATCAGAGTCACCAACGACGCTGCACTTCCCCAGAAATGGACTAGCGCCCTAAGTGGCGGCAACTTGGTCGACATGAGCTGCAACTGCCTTGCCACAAAAGGGTATTCTCTCTGAATTGTGATTGCTCAGTTCAACGTCCGCCTTCATCATCGCATTTCAAGTCACCCGACATGTCGCAACAGACGACACGTTCTTTTACATACTTTTGATAACCAGCCTATTTTACAAACACAACAAAAAGGACGCTTTAGTCACGTGCATCGTACGAACGAAGGCCGCAATCCCTGTTTGTGTGTTCTGTTCGTGTGGTTGTTAATCGACTTGCACAAGGGCCCTGCTGGCCTCCATCACGGACCTTGGCTGCGCTGCATGCATGAAGAACAACGGAAGCGGCCGCCGGTATGACAGACATCGACAACTACCGGTACCGCGTACCGCGGCCAAACTACATACCTCACCATGTCGACGCCGAACCCACCGTTGTTGAAGAGTACGAGCCGCTCGGAAGCGCCAGCGAGCTGGACAATGCGGCGTACCTCGCGAAAGTGAAGAAAGCGGCGCAGCAGTACGGCATCGTGCGCCCAAAGGGCTACAACGTCACGTTCCACACGAACCCAGAGATGGAGAAGCATCACTTTGGCCAAACGCACCCAATGAAGCCGTGGCGGTTGACGCTCTCCAAGAGTCTGATCATGTCCTACGGCATGCCTTTTGCGATGGACAACTACATTGCGCGGGCGGCCACCTTTGAAGAGCTAAACAGCTTTCACTCCGACGACTACCTGGACTACCTGGGTACGGTGCTGCCCGAACCGGTGCCGCGCGATCTCGATAGCACGAATCCGCCGGACCTCAAGTTCAACCTTGGCGGCTCGGACTGTCCGCTGTTTGAGGGTCTCTACGATTACTGCTCCATGTCTGCAGGTGGCTCGCTGGACGCAGCGCGTAAAGTGTGCAATCGCGAGGCCGACATCGCCATCAGCTGGGGTGGTGGCCTCCACCACGCCAAGAAGGCCGAGGCGTCTGGGTTCTGCTACATCAACGATATTGTGCTGGCGATCCTGCAGCTGTTGCGCTGCTACCCACGCGTTCTGTACATTGACATTGATGTGCACCACGGCGACGGCGTGGAGGAAGCCTTTTTCTCAACAGACCGCGTCATGACGTGCTCTTTCCACAAGTACGACCCCATCAACTTCTTCCCGGGCACCGGTGCCCTCGACGACAACGGACCGAAAAACGAGTTCAATGCCGGCGCGCACCACGCGATCAATGTGCCGCTCAACGACGGCATCACGGACGAGCAATACGCCTGGCTGTTTGACAGCGTGATTAGCAAGATCGTTGAGACGTTCCGGCCAAGCGCAATTGCCCTGCAGTGCGGCGCCGACTCCCTCGCCGGCGACCGGCTGGGCCGCTTCAACCTGCAGGTACAGGGCCACGGGCAGTGCGTGGCGTTTTGCAAGAAGCTGGGCCTGCCCATGATTCTGTTTGGCGGCGGCGGCTATACGCCGCGCAATGTGGCGCGCGCGTGGTCGTGGGAGACGGCCATTGCGCTGCAGTGCGAGGACAAGATTGATCCGGTGATTCCGACGCACACGCCCTGGCGCGACCACTTCCGGCAAGAAGAGCTGCTGCCCACGCTCGAGCAGATTGTCGGCGAGCCGCGGCAGAACAAGAACCCCCAGAAACGCATCCAAGAGATCGTTCAGCACGTTCATGAGCAGCTGCGGTTTGTACAACATGCGCCTAGTGTACAAATGCGTGAGATCCCGCCAGACTTGGGCGGCATTCGCCAGGAGGTGGATGAGATGCTGCGCGAGGAGGCCGAGTCCAAGGACGAGACCCTACGCAAGACCAAGGAAGAGGGTCTTGGTGTTGCCATGGAGCATTAAAGGGGGGCATGGGGGCGGTCTACCTAGCTTTTTTGGCTACTCTTGTTTGTTTTTCTTATTTTTGGTCGGCTTTTCTAGCTTCTTTTTTATTTCGATTTTTTGAAACGGTGTTTGGGTGAGACGGCGTGGTTTTGCAAAAAATGGCCTTTACTCGGTGTACGTTTAAAGATATTTATGTTTGGTTTCATATATAATTTGATTTTATCCCAAATTGCGCGTCTTCAAAAATGCACGCGATGTCGTAACGCCCAGGCGATGGAAAGTAACATAACGTAGATGACAATATGCTACGACAACAACAAATAATAACAACAAAAGCAACATAACAGCGTGTGACAGATCCCATAAAAATCTTTGAAGCTCTACCATATCCATCATTTTGCACGGCCTCGTCCAAACTCGTTGCTAAAATCGAGCAGGTGTTTACTCGCTCAAAAAGGCATTCTCCGCCTCTTGCTCAAGCAGCTTGCGCTTAATGCCCCGTGACTGGACGCCGACGAAGGCGACGAGGAAAATACCGATAATCAGGCCCAGGCCCAGCAGGATTATGTTGACAGGAACGGGATTGCCGTCGAAGACCTTGTGGAAGAGGTAGTCGAGCCCCGATTGGGAGAAGTTGAAGAGGCCCGACAGGCAGATGATGGTGCCGTAGACAGTGCCAAATGTACGGAAGCCAAATACCTTGGCGCTGTAGTCGGAGACGGATGTGTAATAGAAGGGCCGGTACAACACAAAAAGACTGACGTTGGCGTAGGCGGCCCATGTCCTCGGGATAATACCAAAGACGCCAATGGTTGTGGCAACAACGGCGAGCGCAGTCAGAACTGCGACGGTGCTGTTGTGGTCGAGGAAAATACCAATGAAAGGAATCGATATGAGGCCACCCAGCGGCAGGGCCAGGTCAAAAAAGTTATTGATGGCGACGGCGGCCTCGTGTGAGCCGAGCAGGGCCTCGTACTGCGGGCGGATGGTAGCGACAAAGTAGTTGATGCGCGTCATTTGCACGACCGTGAACAGGCAGATGAGAATAAACCAGGGCGAGCGGATCTGCTCGAGCGCGCTGTTGCCGTGCATGGCGCCCCAGACGCCCGAAATCTCGTTCTTGGTCACCTCCCGGCTGGCCTGCTTGTCGGCACGCTCCGAGCCCAGGAGCTCTTCAATGTCGGCGACGACGGCCTCGCGGTGGGCGCGCGCCTCTTCTTGGAGGAGCGCAGTATTCTCGTCGACTTGGTCGTCGCGGTACTGCTGGCTGGCCTGGTTGGTGGTGTGGCCCGTCAAATGCGGCCCCTCGAGGTCGCTCAAGAGCGGCGCGTCGATCTGCTCAATGAGCTCGCCCACGGTCTTGTAGGACTGGCGCGGCATCAGCGTGAGCTGCAGCACGACAATGACAACGGGCACGACGAGGTAGAGCAAGAAAAACTTTTGGTGGCCAAAGGCACCGTCGGTTTTTTCGAAGAGGATGCGGTATACCAAGAACAGCGCGCTCGAGGCGTCAAAAGCGCCAGTCAACAGGGCCAAGATGAGGCCCGAGTGGCGCGGAAAGGCGTTGGACAGCTGGAAGCTCGAAATGTAGGTGAAGGGGCCACCGAAGGCCAGCAGCAAATAGCCCAACAAAAAGCCATCAAAGGGCACATCAGCGGCATAGGCAAGCAGCAAAGCACCGGCGCCCAAAAAGCCGGCGCCCATCAGACCGCAGACGCGGGGGCCGTAGTGGTCGAGGATTGCACCAATGGGCAGGGCGGCGACATTGGTGCCAACAGCGGCGGTAGTGAACATAAAGTTGAGGTGGATCTCGACGCAAGTATCAATGTCGGCATCGGCGTCGGCGGCGGTCGCCAAGGAGGAGGCCCCAGTTGAGGCAACGCAGACATCCCGGTATGCGCCTTCTTTTTTTAACACGGGCTTGATGGCGGCATAGCCAAAGACGATGCCCGAGGCCAGTAAACAGTAAACCACAGTCGCAAAGACCTGGACAACGCGTTTCCACTTGGGCACCTCAAAGGCACCGACGGCCTGGATGTTGTCGGCACGCTCGGCAACGGGGTCCCACTCGTCGGGCAGCGGGTTGAAGCTCAGCTTGCGGGAGCGGACGGAGATGGAGGCTTCGGAGGAGCGGCGAGAGTGCAGCCGGGAGCTCGATTCAACCGGTACGAAGGAAAAGGACTCCAATGAAGCTACACGGTTGAGAGACATGTTGGCTGGATGGAACTGTCTCTGGCGTGGATGATAACGAGTCGAGGCGGCGGTCCGATGTATCGAGAGATGGACTTGATGCCGAGAGGGAGGAGGGGAGGTAGGATAAAAAGCTGGGAACGGAAGGCACAGACAGTCTCCTCTGGAGGAGGTGAACAGAAAAGGAAAGAACCGGCCCAAAATACGAAGAAAGGGAAGGAAGAGAGGAGGTGAGGGAAAGCAGTGGTAACAGTGCGCCCGATGAGGCAGGAAGAGAAAGAGACAATGCAACAGAAGAAAAGAAAATCCCGGACGTCAGCAAAAGCTGTTCTCTTCTCAGAACCGACGTCTTCTCACACACACAAGCACTAAGTACTCTCTAGCACTTGTGCCATGTGCGGTCTGTTCAGATAACCGCTTGAAGGACCAACAGTCACCTGGTCGTCCTTAGTGCCTGCTGATTGTATACTGTAATTAGCAGCTCGCCATAAGCTTGCTGTCACTCGCTCGTTGACACGGGAAGAGGATAACGCCTTTGCTATCGTCAAACATTCATTATTTTCAGGGTCGTCTTGCGTCAATGAGGAGAAAGAAAGATAAGAGCTTCTGTATCTCTGGGCCGTTCTCCAAGACTTGAGCATAGCCTCGAGTCTCTAGCGCGAATCGCGGACCAGATTAGGCGGCCAGTTCTCCACTCTTAGCCCGTCAGAGCCCACCACGATATGCGCGAGTCTGTGCCAGCCTTGAAAATGCTGTCCTGGTATTGGCCGAAGATAATGGGCGGCCAATCCATATACGTAAAGATGCGAGAGATCTATGACGAGACATGGACTTTCCCCAGATCTGGATGCTCCCGCCTATCAATCCCACACATAGCATTTTGTCAACAGGAAACAGCCATGATATGTGATTTGTTGAGATCGAACACTCTTCACAATCAATGTAATGCTTCTTTATTGCCGCGGAAATTTTGGAGAGATTTTATTTGATTTTATGTTTCGTGATTTACTCTTGGTCTGGTGTGTGTTGTCGGCATAGGGAACAAAACTCCCAGCGCTATTTTCGCAGTCATCAGTGCTATTACCAGTTTCGTCACTACGGTGTCATCCATAGAATATTCCGCAGATAGCGCATACATCACAAGTCTTACTGTGCCGGTCCTCAAAGCGCCCGCGAACGTGAGACGGAGACAAGGTTGCTGTGGAGTACGTCGTACAGTCATCCACAGCCTTCAGAAGCAATATGAAAATATTTTGTCAAGATTCGTCTCTACCATTCAGGTTGGCTTTAAATGCAACGAGGCTGTACTAAGGTAGGATGCTTTTTATGACTGGGGCATAAGCGTGGTTCTCATCAACGCAGCCAACTTAATCCAGATTTCGAATTTAATGCGCACATTTTACTTTCGCTGGCGCCACGCTGCTGGTTGAACGACCGAACGGCCGAAGCTACTTTCCAAGCCACGGCATATACAGGGCAACAGTTGGTCCTGCCCAATTTATGTGATGGGTGGCCGTAAATCGTGACTGCCCGATGCGGAAATGCTCAGTCATCAGGTCGTTATGAACGGACAAAGGAAAGAACCACCTTAGTGCCTTCTACATCTAGCATCGTAAACATTGAAAAAGGGGCACATTTTTTATCCGTCTACTTCCCTCTTCTTAAAATATCCCTGTTACTTCAATCTTTGCTTCATTTCTCCGACATCGATGTCCGAATTTTCACTCTTCACTCTTTCATGAAGTTGTGCGAACAACGAGGTCTCCATCCTGCAGCAAAACGCACACCTAGACAAATTACTGGTAGGCTTAGCGGCGCTGTCCGAATACCGTCGCGGACTCGAAATCCAGCCCTTCGTCATTTGCAAAACGCTCACCACTACAGATCTACCAAAACGTCGGCATCATCCCGACTGAAATGGACATGTCCAATGAAAATGCGAACGAAAGCCCTGAATAGCTTCTGGATACTGTTCAAGCTAGAAAGGCAGGCCACTGGTTGGCGCCTTCACCAGCGACATTGACAGGGCAGGTCCCATGTTGGCCTCGGCAAGTTAATGTGCGCCACAGGCCGGGCGACCGGCCTGCAGAGTGGACACAACGGCATTAATACGGCCCCCATTGCGCGCCAGCAATGGAAGTATGTCATCCAGGTGTCGAGTCCACATGCCAGTGTCATTATAGTAGTGTGTGACATTAGCCGGAGCAAGCGCAAGGAGCTGGGTCGGTCCTTTGCAAGGAAGTTACAATACAATGGGGACAGCAAAGCTATCACGACGGTAGCCGCCGTGTCTCCATTGACGACAGCTGCATCCTCTGTGCTATCCTACTATTATACTGAATTTGCCTCGAAAAGAAGCTACAATGACTCTTGATGCGCTTTTTCTTCGAGATCGGCATTGACTAACCCGGGCGCCAAAGCTAGGCATGGTTCTCTCTTCAATCGTGGTGCTCTGCACAAAATTGTATGGTTGACCAGCACGGACGTCTTATGTGGACCCTCTCAAGCGGTACCGCGCTGGTAGTCTTGAGCAGGGAGTGGAAATCAGGCAGACAGTGAGAGGCCTTTAGCTGCCCGTCTCGTTAGCATGGACAGCTTGCCAATCTCACGACTCCCAGACTAGAAAGTCAAAAGAGGAAGCCAATCACAGTCCAATGCATATTGCCTGGACTTGTCCACTCTTGCAAGCGCCCACGCTACAGCCCGAGCGACAAAAGACTGGTCAAGCCAACGCAAACCCCGGCCTTCATTTCGCTGTGGTTCTGGTCACCCTCACGTTTCCTCCTCCACTACAATATACTGTGGTGCCATCCATTTCGTTTTGCATCCTAAGCGCCCAGTTCAAACAGCCAATCAACTACCTTCGAACCTGGTCTTCCCGCCAAGCATGGACGATGGGATGTTGTGCCCAGCGGGAGGACGGGTGCAAGAAAGACAAGAAAACACAGCCCAACTCGATACAGGTGGCCTCTCTTCGTCTGGCTTCATAGTGCCCCATATGGCCTTGTCATAACTGATGTCCTACGGAAACCTGGGCGGCTAGAGTGAACTTTTGGGGAGATCAAGTAGCGGGGGTCAAAATTGCCCTTCTGCTTATTTTGCTCTTCGCTCAATCATTGCCGCCGCTAAACTTGCCTAGTAGACGGCTGAACCCTCGACCCTCCCTATCTTGTCCCGTTAAACCCCCCTGACGTGTGCGGTTGGAGCTGTCCCACGGTGTTTTCTTTATTGACGTTCCACTCACTACCCCCCTTTCCCTTTCCGCCCCCTCCTTTCGATCCCGGCTCCTTCGCAGCATTGCCTGGCCGCCCATCTGGCCGCATATCGATCCCACCGCGTCCAGCTTTTTGGCGATTTATTTTCTGTCTTTCTTAGTTTCCTTGCATCTCATTGTGAACCTCGTTTGTTTGTTCAACTTTGGAAATCTTGAAAGTTTCTCTACATAGAAGCTCGTGTTTTATTTATTTTCGCCGATTTCAAACGTCACGTACCTTTGTGTCACAGCCTGGCCTCTCTTCTACAACTCTGGAACGACCCACTGTCAGCCTGGTGCTTGCGCGCACTTCTCGTCCCCTCCCCGTCCTCCCCCTCCATTGCCCAACGTTGACCAGTTGCGCAGGAGTTCAACAGACGCAACAACCCGTGCAGCTTCATCATCCAAGGAAGTGCTGGAAAATAAAGAATCAAGGGGGAAAAGTCAGGAAAGGAAAGCAGAGACTCTGTCCCTCGACTTCTCAACGTCGTTCACATCATGGCAGAACGATCGCGTGGTATCCCTGATTCTGAGCTCTTCATGAGCCGGCCTTCAGATGACTGCGACAGTCCAACTGTTGAGCCGTTGCGAATTTTTAAACCACAGAGCCCAAACCCTTACTCCGCTACAAGTGCCGGTGGCGGCGACTTCTCCGGATCGGAGCGTTTCAGATACCCGCCGCCGCCAGGAAGCACTTCTTCGGCTAGCCCGGCTACTGCGTCTGTCGCCTCGCGGCCGTCGTTTCCTCTACCGCCCGGTGCATCAAGCTCCGCCAATCCACTCCCATACCCCGTTGACGATGACCCGATTATCCCGCAGGCAGCATCCAATGTCCACAAGCCCCGTCCCCCATACCCCGACGGGCGGCCTCACATCAACACAAACACCACGGGCAGCAGCTACAATGACACATACAATGACACGTCGCCGCGACTGGGAATGAGTCCCGTCAGTGGCAAGAAACCGGGCTTGGCCGAGCGGCGGGGCAACATCCCCACGTCCCTGTCTCCTTCAAGCCCGACCGATAACGACGACTTCTTTGCCAAGCCTATTTCGCAACCTGCAGCACGGCCATCGCAGCAACAGCAGCAGCAGCAGCAACAGAAACCGGCTGTTGCCAGCTACCCACCCAAGTCTTACTATCACCCTCCTCCCAACGGTTCCACTGCCTCTTCAACTACCTCGTCTTCCTCGGGCGGTGCCGGCGTTTCGGCTACTGCTGCCCCCCCGGACCATGTCAACCCATACCGGCCAGCGCGGGCCGACTCTGACACGCTCAAACCTGTCCAGCTGAGCGACTCGCCCAGTGGCAACAACGGTGGCATGAACAGATTCGCTTCAACGGCGTCTACATCTACGACTCGGGCTAGCCGTGGATCGCCTCCGCCGCCAGAGACGCCCATTGTAGAGCCGGGCAGCATTCCTGGCAGCGACATCGAGGCCCGCTATGCGGCTGCTGGGATCTCCGGCACGGCAACCCTAAGCAGCTTTCAAACCCCAAGTGCGGCTGCAGCCCAACGTCTGGCGCAATACGGCAGCCCGCCAACTCATGCCCAGCAACAAGCCGCAGCACCGCGTCCATGGACCCCAACCGAGCAGCCTGACAATCAGCCTCATGGTCCACCCACGGTCTACCAGGGCACCAACCCGGTCCAAAACCCACCTCCACCGAGCAGCACTTCCACTGCTGGTGCACAGCAGCAGCTCCCCTTGCACCCAGCATTTTCTGGTGCAGCCAGTGCCGGTGCTGGCACTGGAGCTGTGGCTGCAGCTGCTACTTCATCTCCTGCACCACCTGGTTCCACGTCAGCAGCAGCCAGTAACGCCAACTCGGCCAACCCCAGTCTCCAGGTTAGCGTCTTAGAGCAAGACTTCCAGCGCATGCAGGCGTCCACACCACCTCCTGCGTACACGAGCGTCAACCCAAGTGGAGCCGCTTCTGGCTACCCCAAGGAGAAACAGCAACAGGGTGCGGCGGCCAATATCCCGGCTTCGGGTCAGCCCCAAAGTCAACCTCAAGGTCAGGCTCAACCGGCTCAGCAGAACCTTGGCCAACACCCGGCACTGTCAGGTGGCTATGCCCAACAGCCCCCAGCGGTATCGAACTCAGCTGCCGCTGCTATGGCGGCCGCCACTGCTGCTGCGGGATTCGCGACGGTGAACCAGCCCGGTCAACCCCAGCAATCACAACAGCTGCCACAACAGCAGCCGACGACTGCTGCTGCAGCTGTCCCTCACCATCCGTACGGAAACGAAAAGGCATCTGCCGCTAGTGCTGCCGCTATCAATCCTTTGGCCTCTCCTGTGGGCATGAACGCGAACCATCCCGCCTTTGCCAATGATCAGCGGCCGGAGAGCGTCTTATCCAACGGTGGTAAGCCACCTCTGTCCCACTCCTTGTCTGTGCAAAGCCCGGTGTCGCCACCGCCGCTGCCCGAAGGCTGGATCTCGCACCTAGACCAGAACTCCGGCCAGTACTACTACATCCACCTGGCCACGCAGGCAACGCAGTGGGAGTTCCCCAAGGGCCCGACGCCGCTCAACCATGATGCTACACCGCTCTCGCCCGCCACCTCTACATACGGTAATCCATTGGGCTCGCCGTTCATGAAGCAGTCACTGGCCTCGCCCATGTACCCGCCCACGCCTGGCTACGCTGAAAGCATTACGAGTATGGCCAATTCCACGGCAACCGGATTCATGGGTCCTCCACCCAGCGCCGGTGTCGACATGTACAAGATCTCACCCACCAACGGCGTGTACTTTGGCCCCTACCTACGTTATGTGAACATGGATGTCGAGAAGGGCATTTGGCTTGGTAGCATTATGATTGTGACCGACGGGCCCCAGCCGCCGACGATTCACATCCACCAGAGTGTCGACCTGTCGCCAAACCCGCGGCAGCTCATCCCCTACACCATATACACGCACCAGCGCTGGAACTTCTACAAGTACGACATTGACCTGCAGATGAGCGAGGCTGGAACTGAGCGCTGGACGTATGCCGTGACATCGCACCTCGGTTGCACGCGCTACGAGTTCGTTGTTGCCGGACGTCACGAACAAGGGTGGCGCTTCCTGGCCCACTCGGGCAATGACTTCTCCCCTCTGACGTCGCAGGCCGACCGCAACAAGCTGGGCGGTGTCGACTTTATGTGGAAGGATGTGCTACAGAAGAACGTTGAGTGTGGTGGTTTTCACGTACAGCTAGGTCTGGGTGACCAGATCTACGCTGACCGCTTGTGGCGCGAGGTACCTTTGCTACAACAGTGGCTGGCCATCTCGGGCCGCGAGAACCGCAAGAATGTGCAGTGGACGGCACGGCACGAGGAGGACACGACACATGCGTACTTCCACTACTACACGTCGCACTTTGACCAGCCGTTCCTGCGCGAGGCCTTTGCACAAATCCCGCACGTGCTGCAGGTCAATGACCACGACATCTTTGATGGGTTTGGCTCGTACCCGGCCTATATGCAACAGACGGCCATCTTCAAGAACATTGGTCGTATCGCCATCGAAATGTACCTGCTGTTCCAGCACCACACGACCATTGAGATCTTGCGCAACGTGCACACAGACCAAGACCTCTTTACAATTACGGGCGCTGGTTGGCACTTCGTCAAGTACCTGGGTCCGGCCATGGTTGTTGTCGGTCCGGACTGCCGCTCGGAGCGTACGCAAACACGTGTGCTTGCTGGTCCCACATACCAGGGTCTGTTCCCCAAGGTTGCGCTGCTACCACCCAGCGTGCAGCACTGCATCTGGATGGTCTCTGTGCCCGTCGTGTACCCGCGCATGGAGACAGTCGAAACGCTGGCCAACACTCTGCAGACAGGCAAAAAGGCTGTGAACACAACGTATAACTTGCTGGGCAAGGTCACCAGCTCCGTAGCGGGTGTTGTGGGCGGCAAGGAGGTCGTTCAGCAGGGCTTCACGTCCGTGAAGAAGGCCATTGGAAAGTCCGGACTGATGGGCAACTATCTCAACAACTTTGGCGACATTGGCATCTCGGAGGAACTCCGCGACCTGTGGACGCACGAGTCCAAGGATTTGGAGCGCACGTACCTGATTCGCACGCTGCAGGGTATTGCCCAGCAAAAGGGCATTCGCATGACGTTCTTGTCGGGCGACGTGCACTGCGGTGGCGCCGGCCTCGTACACGATCCGTCGCACCCTTCGGACCACAAGACCATGTACCAGCTGATCACGTCGCCTGTCGTGGGTGCGCCGTCCAGCAACTACTTGCTGAAGATGCTGCACAACAACAAGCTGCTGTACGTGCCGCTCAACGGGCACATGTCCACCAACGAGGTGTCGGACACCAAGGAGGACATGATGGAGATCTTCCAGGTCGATGCGTCGGGCCAGCCGCGCGAGTACAAGAAGCTCATGAACCGCCGCAACTACCTCGCCGTTGTTGCGTTCGACCCGGAGGCCATTGCCGGCACCACCTATGCGGCCAGCATCGTCAACGGGCAACAGGGCCTCAGCAAGCTCAGCCTAGCAGTCGACTACGTCGTGCAGGGCGATGGCGGCAGCGTGCCGACAAAGTACGGACCTGTTATTGTGCCACACCTCGAGTTTGGCCACTGAGGGATGGATAAGGAGGTGCTGGGTGGAAAGCAATTGTGTCTTGGATTTTGATTTTGGATTTCATTTTGGATGTCTTGTCCTTTTTGTCTGTTTGATGGCCTGATCCTTTTTCTATTTACACGTTGCTTGTTTGTGTGTCTTTGCGAGATGTTGACTTTCATTTTGTTTCCTCGTACAATGATATTTCTCCAATTTCACTCATGTTTTACAATTTACTGTTCGCAAAGATTGATCGTCACGCCTGTGCCATTTGTAGTGTTTATATATATAAATACCTTTCACATTAAATAGAACGTCACTGCTTTTGCCCATGTCCGTCCTCGCTCGTTACTTTTTTGTGTCTATCGCCAAGAGCAAGCCGCTTGCTCCCCTTACAGGTCAAACAGCTTCTTGAGCTCGTCGATGGTGTCCTGGGGGTTGGTGACCGAGTGGCCGGTGGTGCGCTTGTCGGTGTAGATCTCGTAGTCGTTGCCACCCTCAAACGTCTTGTCGCCAAAGAAGTGCACGGTGGTGTACTCAATGCCGCCGGGCTTCTTGGCGTCTTCCTCCAGGTGCCGCAGGCAGTACGTCTTGTCCCAGCCGGTGGGGAACACGTCAAAGGAGATCTGGCCACCAATGGAGAAGGTCAGGCCGTGATGGCCAAACTTCTCGCGCAGCACCTCGACAAAGGCCTTGCGCACGCCGGCCGTCTTGTCGTAGGCCTCAAAGGCCAGACGCTCCTCGGTGGTGGCGTTACGGCCGATGGGGCTGATGTTGACCATGCCGTTACGGAACTCGACAAAGGTGCCGCGCTTGACGGGGATGTCGAGGTCGGCCACGTAGTGCAGGACAAACTTGACAAACTCCTTGTAGCGGTCCTCGCCGAACCACTTGATGAAGCTGTTGGAGGGCAGGCTCTTGCCGGACTTGAAGGCGGTCAGGCCGTTCTCGGAGAAGGCAAAGTCGAAGAGGTCGGTGACGGGCACGTCGGGGGTGCTGAGCTGCTCCTGCTGCTTGGCGAGGTCGCTGCCGCCGACGAAGCCAATGGCGACCTTCTCACGGAGGCGGTGGAGGATGTCGAGCATCTCCTTGGAGGCGTGCTAGGTCACGGAAACGGCGTTAGTATGTCAATGGACCTGGGGGGGGACATTCTCGAGAGTCTGTGGGCGCAGGTCAGGACTCACCAGACGCGCCGGTGTCAGGGTGCCGTCGACATCGAACAGAACAACGGTGTTCTTGATCGGGCGCTCGGCGAGCGGGGGGTAGCTGCTGGCATCAGGCATTGTGGCTGTTTGCGACGTATGTGGTGGTGAAATGTGAGGATGGGGAGGAACAGAAAAGGTTGATGTTGTTATTGAGTGGAGAGATGCGGTCAATCGAGAAAAGGAGGAGTCGAGCGAAAAGACAAGAAAAGAGGGGAGCTGTGGTCTCGGCCCTTTATACGACGTGTAGAAAGTGGAGATGGGAGGAGACAGCAATGAAAGGGGAAGCTGCGGAGAAGGTGTTGACAGAAAGTCAAGAAGGAGCGGTCAGGGAGCAACTGGAGGTGATGTGTCTGAATTGCGACAGCTTCGCTGATCAGGAAAATAACAATGCAACCCAAGAAAGGAAACCACGAAATCAGAAAGGTCAATGGACAAGGCAAGCACAAACCATGTACAACCACCTCTGTACGTTCCGCCTCATTCTCTCTGCTCAATAGGAAGGGCGAGCGAGGGGCGCTGACTTGCCCCGCCACGTGGGGAATGTTCAGGGCTGTTTGCGGCCAGAAGGTCTTATCTTATCGCGCAATGGAGCCCCTGTTTTTGAGTACTGCAAATGAACACAAAGAGCTTGCGTCTTATTACAGCGGGGCCAATCACAAGCTTCCAGAGAGCTTTATGTTCGTTTCAAAACAAAAGACATGGGATCATCACGGCAGTGCAATTCTGTTGCATCGCGGGCCGTGATGGGGCCACGTTTCAGGAACGTATGTAATAAAATCGGACGTTTCGAAACATTTAATTTGTTGGCATTGGTTTTTGCGCCACATCATAGCCTTGTTAAAGGACAGTGTCCATCTTTGATGCTAGCTACTTCGTTCGCATCATCGACAATTAGGTGCAAAGAGGACACGGTTGTTTCTTCGTGAGCGACCATGTGAGCTGCTGCGCCTTCTTCCCCATGCCAATTGCAATTTCAATCCCACCAAGTCGTGTCCTTCGTCAATTTGCGCCGGGCATTTTGAAATTGGATGCTCGGCTTGAGTCATCAGTGTCTTTTGCTAAAATGATTGTTGCCTAAGAAACCAAGCAAAAGAGGTGATCTGAAGATGACATAATGTGGTAAAATAGTAAGATAAATTTCCGAAATGTTCAGCCTCGCCGAAAAGAACAAGGTGTCTCTTTGTTGACAACTTTTGATGCCCTGCATGAGTTACTCATGCCTTACGCAAGACTTCCGCAAGGCTGACGGTCGTTGGCCGTCAGGGTCATGGAGGTATCATCCGGTAGCCTTGCATATGATTTTTCGAGACTTTATTTATCTTCAATATAATATTCTTCTATCGGCATAATAGCCAGTTACTTTTTATTTTGCTTTTATTTTTAGTTGCTCTTTTTGGTATGAAACTTATAAAATTTTGTAAATTTCTTGAGTTTAATTTTTTTTATAAAAAAAATTGCAACACAGTTTATAAAAGTAACCCAAGAGCTCAGTCTCTCCAACATAGAAACCTATAGATTCCTGTATGTGGACAACCTACTCCCTACCTTATAAATGCGGTGCCGGCTCTAGACCAGTGACCTCAGCAAAAAGCTCTCGGCAAACAGGCAAGTTATGAATTATACGGACCGACTGAGAATGACGCGATTGCAGATATATGGAATCTGACGTAAGTACGGTAAAAAAGAAGACAAGTATAACGTATTGCTAATATCTGATGGTGCAAGGCCATTTGGATTTATAAAACCTCTACCGAGTACGGACATAGTTCCTTGCTTGACATGACGTTTTTGGCATTCACAGCTTAGGCGCGGCCACATGTTTGAAGTCACACACATTTTGTGTCACGTATATATTGAAGATGATGAACTCTCTTTTAAAACACGAGGTATATTGCTTTGACGCTATCACTCCAACTAGAGACCATAATGTCCTTGACGAGATGCTTAGTAGTTGTTGTCGTTGTTGTTGTTGTTGTTGTTGCTGTTGTTGTTCGAACCGTAGTTGTCCGAGTTGTTGTTGGAGCCAAAGTTGTCCGAGTTGGAGTTGTTGTTGGAGCCGTAGCTGTCCGAGTTGTTGTTGGAGCCGAAGTTGTCGTTGTTGCTCGAGTTGTTGTTGTTGTTGTTGTTGCCGCCGAAGTTGCTGCTGCTGTTGTTGTTGTCGTTGTTGTTGTTGTTGTTGGTGTTGTTGTTGGTGTTGTTGTTGGTGTTGTTGTTGTTGTTGGTGTTGTTGTTGCTGTTGTTGCTGCTGCCGTGGCCAGAAAAGCCTGCGGCAATGTTCTTGCCAATGCCGACCAGGTCGCTCTTGTTGGACTCGGAGTTGTACGCCGCGGCGGCGTCTTTGGCAACGTTGCCGAGCTGCTTGTAGTCGAGGTTGCCCTTGGACTCGTAGTCGCTGTAGGCCTGCTTGGCGGCCTGGCCAACTTCACCCCAGTTGCCAGAGCCGGAGTTGTTGTTGTCACCACCGTTGTTGTTGTTGTTGTTGTTGTTGTTGTCCGAGTTGCCCTTGAGGGCGCTCTCGGCCATGGAGGTGATCTTGGAGAAATCCATTGTGAATGAGTGTGAAATTGGGAGCGAAAAGTTGAAGAGGGCAGAGAGTGTGTGGTCCGGTTCAGTGTTTGGAGTGGAAAAGTGAAGATGTGCTGTGGGATTGAGAATAAAACGAAGAGTCACGATGACCTTGTCCTAGGCCGGGACAAGGAGCTCTTCTTATATATGCGAGTACCTCCCAAGTCCTCTGACGTAGCTCATCCCTCATCCCTCATCCCCCTTACTCGCTGTCATGAGTTTGGCCCCTCCATCCTTTCTTTCTCCATCCACCTAACACAGTATTCAACCGTCCACCAACCACCCTGCCGCTCTCTTTTGCTTCTCATCTCACCCTCTGTCCGTCTTCTGCCTCTTTCGGCCACGCCGTCGGGCGCGCTTGCTACCTTTGGAGAAGCGAAAGACGCACGCCAAAAAAGACAAAAAAGGGCTGGGATCTCCACCGTTGAGAGTCTTCTCGTGTCTTCTGGCGGCTATCACACTTGCGGGCACACTTGCACCTGCACTTTTGCACTTGCACGCCCCCAAGGCCAGGCCTCATGCACGACAACACATCCACACACACACATCAATCACGCCGTCTTGTTGCCTCGAGACCCCTGCCATTCGTCCATGTACTACTAACTTTCTCCTTTACCCTCTTATGTCTTGGTCGCCGTCGTTAGCTTCCTGTCTCTGTCCCATCTCTATTCCCTCCGCGTCTCTCGGCTACCCCTCCACGGAGGCTGGCGGGACTCGCTCTCGCGGTTTTCCCCCTTTCACGCATGCGATCGAGATGCACTACCTCATCACATCATCTCATGTCTTTAAGGAAAAAGAAGGGTCCTCAACTCCTTCCTCGGCGCAGCGTACACTGCTAGCCTAGGCCGTGTTTTCCACCACTGGACATGGGGCGTTCCTGGACCCTGTTGAGCTGTCGTCATGCCACTTGGCGCCATAATCTTTTTCCATCGTTTCACTCTTTGAATTTGGTCTAATTATTGATATTGATGTTGTTTCCATGACAAGTGACAGTTTCGTCACCCTACCTTGCTTTCTGCGGGTAAACCCTGCTTGTCAAATTGGGCCTCCACTTTGCAGAATGCATTTTTCAGCTTTGCTTTTCCTTCCCTGCGGCTGAAGCGTAGGTTTGTTATGGGAAACACGGAACACTGAGCGCACAATCGTACGACGTAACTTGAGAAGCAAGATGGCAGTGTGCTTACTTCCCCCAGATAGTGGGGGACTGACAAACGAATGGTGTTTCAGCGCAAATGGTTCCTGGGAGTTATTCCCTCAGGAGGATAGGCCACTAGTGGCGGGTCTTTCTCTCTAGCTCTCCGGTTTGGTAGGGTCTGGTCTGGTGCCGGTCGTGTACTTTTGGCGCGGGAGCGACCCCCTCTGCCCCTCTATTATTTCATCTGGACGATCGTGGGAGCTCGGGGTCCATGGTCGTATTGTGATCGGACGAGGGGCACAGAGAACAGGGGATCGCAGCTGAGCACCTGTGGCTTTGGAGCTGGCTCAGGCCCGGTCGTCCCATTCTTCACTTTTCATAAAACGACGTCCACATGGGTCGTGTTAGTGGCTCTGTAGTCCAGCGCTTGGGCTGGAGCTAGCGGAATGGGCCAGGGGACCTCTACGACGATGCTGCGATGTATCTTGCGTTCCACTATTGGGGTTCGTTTGACCCTGATGTGCTTGTGGGAGGAAGAGGGGTCATGACATGTCGAGCAGCACGCCGAAATCCCGGCGCCAGCCACTCCTGCTTGCATCTTTTGTATGCATGCATACGCGTCAAGGGCGATCTCTGTTTCGCGCAGCGTTCTCATTTGGTATCACTCTTCTCGTGTCGTGTCCTGTTCTTAACGACGGCCCAGAGCAACGGCGACACGTAAACATCGAAAGGAGGGGCGGATGGGGGGCACATCACCGAGACAAGTCGAGCCAGAGGGTCGAGCTCCGTATCCGGTTTAGCCCGGGCCAAGCTAGCTGAAAATGCGAGATTTGGGTGGGAAGTGGAATACTGCGTTTGGGCAGGCGGCCCTCCCGAGAACAGAGTTTTTGTTGTTATTTGGAGCTTTGGGCTTGCATGGCGGGGCTGTGCAAACAAGACATGAACGCTGTCGGTTTGGGACGAGAGAAAACGCCGACAAATTGGTCTCAACGCTATCATGGATTTGTCCTGGCGTAGGTTCGATGTGCTGGTTGTCGGAGATGCTTTCGAAGCGAGGCAGCCCATCATTTCCTATTTCTGAGGAGACAAGTATAGAAAGAAAAAAAAAGGGGGGGGGGGGAGAGAAAAGAAAAGAAAGAAAACAGAAAGCAACTTGTTCGTTTCTCGACAGCAAGACCTTGCGATGCTCAGCAAAAAGGCCAATATTTTGTCCGCAGCAACTGCCTGCAGAGAGTGAAGCATTGCGTCCTTTCCTCCTTTCTCAAACGTGCTTGGTCCTGGGTGTGTTAGATTGCAGATCGGCATCGCACCGTTTCCCTTTATCTCGTCGTCAGGGCGTCGTCATGTGGCCTAGACCTGACAGGAACTATTGCCGGCGATACTTGTGTAGTCCGTTGAAGAGACGTGGGTTAGTGTGGGCGAAAGTAGCAACGAGGAGACCGACGAAGCGGAAATGAGATGAAATGAGATAACAAGTTCCGAAAGTCAACAAGTTTGTTTCCAAAATAGAAACTAGGAATCACTCGAAAGAAAGAAGCTAGGCATCAATGCTAACGATGAAAGTATAAAATAACAAAAAACTGTGGATTGTATAATGCATAGACAGGACACCCAGCTCTCATCGTCCCGTCCAATCCGTTTGTCGATTGTCCAAAACATTGCTCCCTAGGAGCCATTAACAGGTATCCAAAAATATAGTATGATGTTCCCGGGGGCCAAGGTTGGGCAACCGGTCAGCACTGGCAGGGCGCTTGTCGAAGTGCCGGTATCTCACAGAAGACCGGCGCTCAACCCACTGCCAGGCTCCCCCTTCCTCTCGTCACCGGGCTCTATCGCCACGCCCCAGTGACCTCGAGGACCACATTCACGATTGTGCTCACAGTCCACAGGCCAATCAGTGCCAGGCCGATCTTGCGGCTCATCACCCACCGGTTGGCGGGCACCGCTACCAGTAAAACGAAAAGCGTAATCAGCACCGTGACGGCGGAGACCATCAGTGAACTGCCGACCTGGATGGTGTACGGCTTGTAATGCAGCGGCTGGTCCGGGTGGCGGTCCCGGTGGGCCTTGGCCGCCTTGATGGTCATCCAGGCGCCACCGACGCCGACGCCCAGCAAGATGTTGAGCATCGGGCCACCAAAGCAGGCAGACAGCGCCATGACTGGGTAGCCGAGCCGCGCAACCGTAATGTCGGCCACCAGATCGCCGAGCGAGTTGCCGACGGCGAAGATGGTCAAACCCAAGATGGCCTCGGAGATGCCTACGATGACACCAAAGGCCTTGAGCACACCGACCACTTCGCCGGCCACCGTCGAGATCCAGGCCACACTAATAATAAACCCGAGGAAGCACAGCAGAGAGTGGTACTTGGGCCGCCGTGTAGCCGACGTCATGGCCAACAGCACCACCAGCATCAGGGAAGATGCTCCAAGTGACCCTACGATCATAAACAAGAGGCTTCGCCACGGGTTTTCCAGGTCTTCGGATATGTTGGCCCAGACGATGAATGCTGTGAATAGGGGGCCTGCAAACAACTGCACCGTCACCAGCCAACGGTTCCAGCCCGCCGCCACAGCTTCGGCCTCAGCTTGACGAAGCTCGCTGCCGAGAATAGCAGGTTCTGATGACTTGGCTGGCGGGTTGGATAGTGTCGTGGGGATAGCTGGAACATGCTCCGGAGGAGGAGCGCTGCTGCTAGAGGCCGATGTCATCGACACCGCGGTCGACGAGATGTTACTAGCGTCGACACCATGCTCGGCCTGGATAGTCCGGACCACCGGCGACTGCAGGGGCCGGTTGGTCAGGGTGCTCCGTCGGTAGCGCTGCCATTCCGTCTCCGGCCTGGGGACATTCAAAGTAGGTGTAGACGCGGCACCGACTGAAACGCGATGGCCGTTCATAAGCGGCTCACGGGAAGCGCTCGCACCATCGGCTTCCAACGTATCGTGAAGCGCATACTCGCTAGCAATGTCTTCGTCCTCGTCCTCGTCCTCATCCTCGTCGTTCTGTGCGTCTACTTCCACGACGGGCAGTGTCACGACCAGCAACAACACAGATGGGGCGGAGATAAGGCTAACAAACTTATCCCAAATCGTCTTTTCCCGCCAGTCGACGAGGGATGGAAAGAGAGTTCTGCTGATCAGTTGGGGAGGGGGAGGATATTGTATGGCCACCATTTTATGGGCTTGGTGTAGGCGCTGTCATCGAGGCCTGGAAAGCTCGACCCATCGTCGGCTGGAAGATCGCCACGTTGTGATAGCGGCAGGCTTGACTGCCGAGAGGGAGGGAGGGCGGAGAACGGCATTGGTGATTCCGTGTAACCTGGGAAAGGGGAGAGGGCTGGCGACGAATGGGGTGAGAGTCGCGCGCTATGGTGGGGAGAGGAAGGGATGTCGAGGCGGAGTGCGCCACCGGGAGGTAGGCGGGAAGGATGTTGATGGGGTCCGGAAGCGGTTGGGATCGATGCTGGGGAGGCAGAACGACTGTCTGACGGGGATAGATTGGCAGCGACTTCAGGTGATGCCAGGCCAGATGTCGCTTCACTGCCGCCCAATGGAGATGGCCCCATGCTAGATGCAGCCGCGGCAGCAGCAGCATCCTCCTCATGTACTGTATCCCCCGCATCTGTGAAGCGGAGTAATGGGGGGCCGAGCTGGTGGCTGCTATCCGTCCAGCTAAAGGGCCTGTTGCCGGACGACCAAGCTCGATCACGAGCTCCAGTGGACCCTCGCCGGTATGCATCTTGAGGGAGCAGAGAGCTACGGCTCATATCGTCTTCGCGACTGTGCCCATCTATGGTACTAGTACCGTCGAGAACAGACACGGAGTGACCCCGGGAGAGGCTTGGCCGGTGTTGGCTGGTCATTCGCCGCCGGTCGATGGGGTCCAGGTGCATCGTTCCCGAACGTTGAAGCGACGCCAAGACAGACCGAAACTCGAGGGCACCGAGCAGGCTAGGCCGAATGGGGGTGGTTGTCGTGGTTCTCCGGCGTCCAGCTGGCCGGCTGACACGCATGCTGCTGGTCATTTCAGCCGTAATATGGCGGTTCCGCCTGTCCTGCTCTTCTTCGCTGATCTGGTCAGCTTGAGCTTCCATGTTGAAGGCCAGGTCTGCCTCTCCAGGGTCGTCGACGCTGTCGACTTCAATCCGTGGGCCGCGTTCCAAGGCGGAAATATCAGGTGGCGGCCGCTCACGGCGGCCGCCTACAGGCGCCGTGTCGTCTGGCTCTGGTTCATCATGGGGGTCGATAGGGAGCCCGTCTTGAGCGGTTGCGATGGCATTGGGCCGGCTCTGGCTGTCGTCATCATGATAAGGGGCTAGGTCATCGTCGCCAGCACCGCTATGGCCAGCAGCGCCAATTGTGGCACCGTAATAGTGGCCACGCGAAGCTGCCTCGCGTGCCCGCTGCCGCTTGCGCCGTGTCGATACCCAGTGCCAACCCACAACGGTCAACACATAGAACAAGTAGAAGCCGATCATGACACAGCACTCCCACAGCATGAGCTTGCCGTCGGCGAGGAAGACCATGGAAAACGCCACAGACATGATGAAAAAGGCAATGTCGCGCACAAACGTGCGGCGGCTGACCTTGAACTCGCGCACGAGCGCCATCGACCCGGCGACCACGCCTGTGATAAAGCCAGCCGCGCCAATCAGCTCGCCCACGGCCATGCTTCCGCTGTTAGAGCCCATGGCAGCAAACGTGCTGAAGACGTCCGGCGATCCATTGCCAAAGGCTAGGAACGTCACGCCCGCCAAACTCTCGCTAAGGCCCAGTATAGTGGAGATTGTGCTGAGGTTGACACTGAAGAAGTCGCTCGCAGCAATGCCAATGGTCGTGAAGAGGAGGCCAAGCCAGATGACAAGGATGGTGAAAGCCAACGGCTGGACGTGCTGCATGGAGCAATAGTAGAACGTAATGTACGGTATCAAACCAGCCGCTTCATCTTCGCAGTTTGCCAGCACGAATGCGCACTGGTCGGCAGCTTGGTGCACGAGGCGACACTCGAGGTCCTCGGTGGTGTTGCCATCATCACGGCGCAAGAGACTGATGCTGTTGTCGAGCTTCGAGGGGCCAATCACTCCTGGCACGAACGTGTGAAACGCAACAAGAGCAAGGATCAGGCCGGTCGAAATATAAAACGGCCGAGTCCGGAACCGCGCCCGCCGCCGCCGGGGGGTCGTCGGAAGAGACATCATCTCACAGACAAAAGGCAGCTTGACTTGAGGCCATCATCTGGCGAGTGGTCGGAGGTGGTGGAGCTGGCCGTACGAGGTGATCGATGGTCGGATAGGTCGAAACGAGCCGGGGAGAAACAGTGGACAAGGCCCAGCGGGCCGGAAAGTAGCAGAACGAAAGGCACGTGTTGAATTCAGTCGACGGTGTAACGGTCGCAATTCGTGAGGATGCCCAGCGATTAGCAAAACGCTGCGGAGACGTCAAAATATCCGGATAGCTCTGACAAGTGTGTCGTAAAGGAGCAATTGTTGTCGACAGTATGCGCACTCGAGGCTCACAGCAAGAAAGGACGAAAGTCCCCGAAGGCAAGCACGCTCGGCACTGTTGGTACAGCCGGGAAGGGAAGGTGCAGCTCTGCGATGCAGCGCCTCGTCACCACTTCCAAAACCCATGCCTGTTACAACATAGTTTGGTAGGTACCAAGTCAAGATACAGCTTAGGATGAAGGTCTCAGATACATGGTAATGCAACTGTCCCACGCATATTACGTAGTACTCAGTACCAAACCTACTCAACGTCGTATGACGGAGTACACCGCCCATTTTTGGTAGAAAGCAGCGCAAATAGAACACGAAAGGGGGGCAATCCAAAGACTAGCGTGTAGAATGGCCTCCGCATAGTGCTAAACACAGTGCGTTAAAATAACACTGTGCATTCGATTACAGTTTCCGTGCCACACTAATCCACGTGACTTTGTTTACTTTTGACTGGAATAGGCGAAAACACGAAAAACATCGAAACAATCAGCCCCCCAATCTCGCAAAAGCGCCCAACGCAAACACAGCGCGACGCGGAGAACCTTGCGTGTGACAATCACGACGACATTGCATCGACGCCTGCCGCGCGAGCAGAATCTGCAGTACAACGAATCAACGAAAACAGGAAAAGAGACGACAGAATACGGCCACTCTGCAGCATGCCTCGTGTCGCGCAGGCACCGCGTGCAAACAGCACAAGAAGCAACAGCAGGTCGGCGTCGGGGTCGCTCTCGCAGTCACCTTTCAAGAACTCGCCGGTGAAGTACGTCGCGGCTTTGGGAGAGATGGAACGGACAAGAAAAGGAAACAAACTGACCGACAGGATCCCTCTCAACGATGATGCGCAGGAAAAGGCCGCGCGCCAGCAGTCGCGGCAGGCGCTGCACGAAGCTCAGATCAACCAGCTCAAGGCAGCCGCCACACCGACTACCCGCAAAGTGAGCAACATACGCCTCGACGACCTCGAAAATGCATCGCCAAGCTCCAGTGGCAGCCCGCGGACGCCGTTGGGCGACCGGGCCCCGCGTGGTCGCAAGCGCCAGAGCCTGGGCGCCGGTGGTATCAACAGCCGAGACGCCGTTGCCGCTGCGGCCGCTGCATCGGGCAACCGGGCCATTCTCGGTGGCCGTGCTGGCGACGATGATGACGAAGACGACGACCGCGTGGTGGTCGGCGGTGCGGTGGTGACGCCTATGAAGCGGGTACCAATCCTCGCCAACTTTGAAGAGTGGATGAAGATGGCCACAGACAACAAGATCAACGCGACCAACTCGTGGAACTTTGCGCTCATCGACTACTTCCACGACATGTCCCTCCTCAAAGAGGGCGACGGCGTCAACTTCCAAAAGGCCAGCTGCACGCTCGACGGTTGCGTCAAAATCTACACGAGCCGTGTTGACAGTGTGGCAACCGAGACGGGAAAGCTGCTAAGTGGCCTCGCGGACAGCCGCGAGAGCAAAAAGAAGGGCGGCGCTGGTGCAGGCGACGGCGAGGAGAGCGAAGACGAAGACGAGTTGGACGAAGACGGCAATCCCAAGAAGAAACCCAAGAAGAAGCAGCGGTCTGAGGCTACGCTCGCCCCCTCGTTTGCGTCGCTGCAGCTCAAGAAGCTCGAGCTTGAGTTTGCTGTCGACCCACTCTTCAAGAAGGCCTCAGCGGACTTCGACGAGGGCGGCGCCAAGGGCCTCCTCCTCAACCACCTCATGATCGACGGCCAGGGCCGTATTGTGTTTGACAGCAGCGATGACGCTAACGATATCGCCAAGACACGCAAGAAAGACGGCAAGAAAGGCAAGAAGCAGAGTGAGGAGGGTGAGGAGGAGGAGGGCGAAGAGGCGGACGACGACGACGTTGACGAGGACAACATGGAAGCTGAGCCCGACTCGTTTATCGAGGAGGATGGCGACGACCAGGACGTTCCGATTGATGTCGCCTCCCTGGGACATCGCTTCTTCCCTGAGCTGCACCGCCTCGAAGAGCTCGATGTTTGCCCATCGCTCAAGACGTTCGACCTCGGCAACCCATCCGGCTCCCTGGACATTCCCTTCTTGCGTGGCCCCGAGAACAATGGCGAGGACAACGCGGACGGCGACAAATCGGCGATGTTTATTGACGAGGACAACCCGCTTGGCTTTGACGACACGGATGCTCTTGGTGGCTTCGACCTGGGCGCCGATGTAAATTTCGGCGAAGGTGGTGAGGCCTGGGCGCGCGAGGCACGGTTAGAACCGCAAATGCGTGTATACAATGCAGATGGTGATGTCGGCGACGATCTGCTGCTACTTGGTGGAACGGGTGGCAATGGTGCAGAGACGGACGATTTCACCATTGCTATGGCCCACTCCTCACAGCAGCCCGACAAGCTGCACGACAACATCCTCAGCTACTTTGACCAAGCACTCCGCAAGAACTGGGTGAGCGCCGAGCATTGGCGTATCCGCAAGATCAAGGACGTCAACAAACCCGCTTCTGCGGCGAAGCCACGCAAGGAGAAGGAGCCGTTTGCGATTGACTTTGAGGCACCGCTCGACAACGTCATGGCAGAACTTTTGTACACGCAGGCGTCCAGCAACACGGCCATCACACTGCCCAAGAAGGACTGGAAGGCCAAGTCGCGCAACCTGCTTCCTGACGACAAGCACTTCCATAGCAAGCAGCTGCTGTCGCTCTTCCTCAAGCCCAGGGCCCGGCTGAGCCGGCGACGCATGCAGTTTGGCGGCTTCGGTGCTGGCAGTTTGTTCAGCCAACTGCAGCAACAACAGCAGCCGGACGTGCCCGAAGGCGAGATGAACGAGGCCTTCTGGGCATCACAAAAGGACCCGCTGCGGCCAACGGTCGAAGACGGCGCAAATGGCGGGTCCGATGGCGAGCCACACGGCGACTACGATGCCAACTTCTTCGCAGACGACGGCCTGCCATTTGCTGGAGGCGACGATGACGACGATATGGACGGTGAGGAGTTTGCCGACGCCCGCGAACACTTCAGTCCTGTCGATGGTGCTGGCCTGGGTGGTGGCATGGACGCGGGCATGACACAAGGGTTTACCCAAGGGCTCGGGTTCACGCAAGGCTTCACAACGGGCTTTGGCGGTTTGACGGTTACCAACCCGGCTGACCTTGCCTTTGGCACGACACTGGTGACGTCGAGCCGGCGGGTGCGTCCCGAGTACGTGCAGTATGCACGTGTGGCCAAGCGCGTGGATGTGCGGAGGCTGAAGGAGGAGCTGTGGAAGGGCATGTCCTTCGACAAGGGTGTGGCAGCGTCGCGTCTGTTGACACCGCCGCCGGCAGACGCAGGGACTGCCAGCATCGATGAGCAACTGGCTGCATCCGAGGAAACACCAGCACAGTCCGAAGAGGACAAGATGCTCAAGTTCACGGACGTGATGAATGGGCTGCAGTCCGTGTACTCCAAGTCGATGATGGACGACATCTCGACGAGTTACTGCTTTATCAGCCTGTTGCATTTGGCCAACGAAAAGGGCCTGCAAATCAACAAGACGGAGTCGCTGACGGATCTGGACATCCGCAAGGACTGGACGGCGGAGATTACAGCGGAGTAGCGTTGACCGGGTTCTGGATTTCATTCTTGCAATTTGTCTTTCTTGGAACGCGGGCATCTTTTGCTTCATACTTTTTTGACTAATGAGTTTTGCACTGCATGTTTCTCTCTTGTAACGCATATCACGTTCTTGATCCATTACTATACAAATGATTGCTTGTTGCCGTGCAGCTCCTTGTGATGTAAGCGCAGCACCCGCAGTCTTCAAGTCATCGATTCAGGCATGTTTAGCCGACCGTGGTATATCACAACCTTGTGGACATTTCATCATGTATACCACGTTGGCGCAGCGCGCCTCATAACTCATGAAGAAACGTAGGAAACCCACGAAGTTTGTTTGCCTTGGTCGCATAAGCCACTCATAGGGATATGGCAATGGAGTATGTCTTTTTCTCAGTAGACACAGAGTATTCAGTTACACCACGGAAATTATTACAATGTCGTGCCTCGTCATCTTCTTCAACCGAGCCGAGGCCGCACATTTTGCAACTCGGAATACCCGGCAAGTTCCTCGTGGCCATGGATATTTCCCGAGTGTAATGCATGACATGTCGTACACGTTATTTACCCTCGCGCTCGTCGAGACCGCCATGACAACAGCGAACCGTAACCAAGGCGAAGAAACGTGGAGCCAGGTGGACATGATTGGCTGCGAGAGAAGCACGGTTGGAGGGCAGTGGTGTGGTTGGACGAAGTTGATGAAAGGGTGTCGTGTGTGGACGCCGAGGGAGACGGGATCTTGGAAAGGCTGTTGCACTATTGTTTGCGGTTCCTCTACCTCTGCGTTACCGTGTGAGCCTATAAGCAGGGTGCGGTGAACAATTGCTGCGTCTTGGAATCCAGCTCAACCACGTATGAGATATGTTGCTTCGTGCTGCTCGATATTACGTACCAGGTAAACCGGCCAAGAAGTCGGCGATCCATGTTGATGGCGGTAAGGAACAGAAGTACAGAACCGGTGCAGAGACTTCAGCAAAACGTAACGTTGGCAACTACTAAAACTCAGTCGTCCGATGGTATTATTCGGTTGACGACCAGACAGTTTGAAGATCGGTAGCAAGCCATTTAAGGCTCATTTCAATTACCAGAAGAACGGCCAAGCCCCAACAGTGTTTGTGAAAAGCTTTACCATGGCGGCTTAACGTTGTGCATCCAGTTCATGATACGGGGTAGAGGAGTATGTCATTGTAACACCGCTGCCCGTTCCTAAACAGCGATTCGATCTTCTGCTTTGTATACATGGAGAGACTGTTCGAGCAATTCTCACGTTGCATAAAGCCTCCGAAGTACCTTCCGCCTCTTGACAACTGCAGGTTTTTCTTGTAGGACAAACTCTCGCCAAAACCGCAACCCGTAAGCGATAAAGGCGATATGTCATAAATTTTGCCTGGCTATTTACAAAACATGGGGGCGAGTAACCCTATAATCACGTCTCTTTCTGCTCTTTGCCTGCTTTTTATATTAACACCCACATTGCCTTCCCGAACTCGTACTGATATCTTGTAGATTACTGTAAGGCAAAGTCCAGAATGCAGGAGGCAAATAAATATGCAAAGTCAGGCAGTGTCAGACAAGGCAGCACAACATCAATTATGAACTGGTAGGGTCTCGCTAGGTTCGTCTTTGTTGATTGCTTTACCTACCTTGGGGATGGCGAAATGCTACGATGTCGTAGAGGTCTAGACACTCAACACTGTTGTTGCCAGGTCCACCTCATGCTAGCAAGTCGCTCTCCAAATTCCCAGTACTACGTCGTACATCAGGTCCAGGCGGGTACGGTGCGGTCTCGTTTTTTTTTGTGCTGTTATTCTCTTATTCTCCTATCCCCTCATGTTCTCATGTGAGCCATTACTCGATTGATAGGGGCAGAGGTAGATCTGAACATCTCAATGAACGTGCGTGTGCTGCTGGCTCACAAGTCGAAACAAACGCGCCCTCGTCGGTAGTTGTTTTGCCCCTTGTGTTAATCACCGTTCAGACATCCCCTCTACCGGGACACGATGAAACAAGCGAAAACCTGGCCACGCTCCAAGTTTCCTAAATTGAAGGAGGCTGATCGGCGGGAGGCAGCATTCTGACGTCGACTAGCCCCTGCTCCTGATGTCGAACCTACTCAAGCAGCCAAGTATCCGGTTGAGGTGCTTTTTCATATCTGCTGCTCTTCCAAGTCGGCAGGAATGCGCTTTATTCTACAAGGTAGCATGCTCACATGTGCGATGCGCAGACGCCATGTCATTTGCAATGTCTTCCTCTCTCTGTTTCTCGCTCACAGAGCCCACTTGCCTTTTTGGGTAGCCAGACGAGCCAGAGCAGAGTACGGAGTCTCCGAGAATATTGGGACTTCATACACTTTTTCAAGGTCCCGTTTTGGATCTTCCCAAACTACGATGCAATATGTACGCCACCTGTGGACGCCAAATTCGACGGCTGGCTCTTGTTGCTTTGCTAAATGTTAAATGCTGTTGTTACGTCGTACGATGCTCGGCCGTTTCGTTGCTTCTAGTATCCCAAAACTCCTTTTCTCCCCGCCGCCTGTGTCCCGTTTTCCGGGGTTGTCGTGGGATGCAATTGCGATCGTCAAAGGGATGTGGGTTTCAGTCTATTCGACTGTAAGCCAAGTCCAAAAGCAGGCGAGGCAGGGTCTTCGGGCCAAGGCAAAAGGCCCCGTCCAAGGGCTGATCCCAGCAGTTTAGCGGCATGCAGGTGCGAGTTCCCAAGCCCGCCAAAGGTGACGAACGTGTGTAAATACAGTTGTCTGCTAAACGGGAATTGCAGCACCGTCAAGAAATGATCAGGCCACAAGTCACGTTAATACTCCTGAATGGACGACAGAAATGACCTTATGTATCTGGCGTGTGGATTTGTGTCCACCGTCTCCCTTTTATCGGCGCCGAAGTCTCCTCCGTCGATGGCGTATCACATCGCAGACTGCAGATACTGCCGCACACCCGGTAGCCGGTTTATGTGTGTTAGGACATATTTCGGTCGAAAATCTCGACTGCGGGACCCGGGCATAGGACTTTGTTAGTACGGTGATGGCCACCTTACTTCGTAGATGGACAAGTTGCCTCTCATGTCATCAGGCCGCATCCGATATCAGCTGCCGACCAACAAGGCTTCATCAAACTGGCTCGCCTCGTAGGCCTGCAACCCATAGACAGTTATCGTACGCGGAATGGCCTGCCCGCAGGCAAGAAAGGGCCATGCGTCAAACGGAAAATAAGGCGGCGTGAAAGCCATTTGTCGATCTTCTGCGCTGCATTTCGATGCAAGGATGCATCCTTTAGAGGACGTGGCCAGCGAGGCAGGCCAAGTCCTCTGAAGGCAACGGGAGCGGACGGGGCGATACGACACGTTAACAGGACGCTTGCCACAATTTAGAGGATGGGCCAACCGTGTTAGAGTTATAATAAACAAGGAGGAAATTGACAACAGTCCCCGAGTCCGTGTAACTGCTCTGCTGCACAAGTTGAGAATTCAGAGAGGTGGTTCAGGTGTGGAGGGGAAACTTCTGTACTTGGTGACAGACATCGAGTGGGAGCAAGTCACCAATGGCTGTGAATTACTGCTGCTTAAGGGCATTGAAGCACCCCTGACATATGATCACTGATTGTTGGTAGGAGCGACCCTTGTCTCTTGTCCCTGGTTCTCTGGGGCTTGCTTTTCTGGGGCGGGCATGGGCGCCGAAAGCCGTATTGTGTCGGATATGTACCTCGCTGGTAATATATTGTAGGCGGTACCTTGGAAAGATAGTGACAGTGCTATTATTGCCGCGTCTGAATGTGAGACTATTTGTACCAAGTACGACGAACACATTACGAGGAACAAATCGACAAAAGGAAAGAGGGAGAAAAAGTGGTCCCGGTGTTTACCCTAGTCTTAACCAGGACAAGTGTTGTCTGACACGATCACGCGGGATTGGTCAGTCGCCTTTTGCTGCGATGCGAAACAAAGACCAGAAAGGGCGAGCACAGGAGAGTGAGAAGCGAGTGATGAAGAACGAACCAACGAGGCAAGTTCAACCAGACCAGAGGAAACGGGACCGGCGCCATTCAAATATAGAAAAGGAAACCAGAGCACTAGCTCATTCCATCCTTTCACTGTACGTCGTATTTACTCCGTAGAGAGAAGACAACGGACACTGAACGCCTATATTTTAGGGTGGCCATGGGCGTTAGTGCAATTATATAGTCGGCACTGTGCACGAAAACGCCGCCATCTCCTTTGTTGCGCACCGCCATTTTGCTCCCAGCCCTTCGCTGGCCTTTTGTTCCTCTTTCGTAGAGCCACGGCGTCTTCGTTGGTTATTCCACCTTTGCCTTTGTTTTTGCCGACAGAACGGTTGATGTCCTTTCGCGAAAGCCATGAGAAATTCAGAAGGACATGAGTGAAAGGGAAGAAGGCCAAATAAGGCCTATGTCTTTCGAGACTGACCCACTAATGACGTCAGTGGGTTGAATTGGGCCCGCCATGGCTCAGCAGGTGGGTGGGCAACAAAAATGAACCGGCGAAAGGAACAGTGACAGAGTAAATAAGGGAGTGAGGCTGGTCGGGCGGGTTGCAGATACATAATCAGAAATTAAAGTGAAAGTGGCTGCGGCACGTTTCATAGGAGTTTTTTCATTCCACATGCTGGTGACATCAGTAGCGGTACTTTGGCAATTTGGCCTCTGACTGCGGACCATCGCAATACGCTCCGATGTATGTTGTGACTTGGCCATGGCCGAAACAAGTCGATCGCAGCCAGCCGTGGCCGTGATCCCAGCTTTGCAATCACCATCCTTTCTGTTTGTTCCCTGCCGTATTGGTCGAACTCTCCCGTAGATAGCAATTTTGCAGACTATCAAACGAGCTCAACTTGTTTGCGCCTCCGTTTCAAACTAAACGAATGTACTCAGTCGACCAGACCCTGACGATCGGACGAGAGTAAAAGGGAATGCGATGATTAGGTGGCGGGAATGAGAGCGGGAGGCAAGGAAGAGGCAAGAGGCTTTCCACGATGCTTGTTGCACTGCAGGCAGAAACGACCTCGTGATAGCCACAGGTCCTACTTTACCTGGTTGATGCAGCTGCAGCTATCCTCTTCCGTCACTTTTCGCATACTGCTGCACTCATTCTCTCCTCAATGTAGTCCCCTCCCCCGCTCCTTCCATCTGCTTTGCCTGCAGTGAGCAGCCTTCCACCGCCCGCATGTCGCGCAGAAAAAGAGTAGAAGCTGCAGGTCGAAAGGTTCGCCCTGCTGTGCTTGCAGAGGGACGACGTAATTACGTCGTATGTTCCAAAAACGGTGAAGCCAGCCGTCGAGTCTCATTCGTCTGCTCTTACCCGCCCATCGCGCCTTCATTCCGGTGTAAATGTACCAAACGTACCTGTGCTTCCTTCCCCTCCGAGACCAGGTCTCGGGCAGCACCTTCCCGTCGAGTCGAGAGTTGCTCTTGCCCCCAAAACCAGATGCGCGGGACTTGGTTCGCTTCCTCGGCGGTTCTTGCTATTTCCTCTTCAGCGCCGTTATGACACTTTTTCCATTCCTCAAAAAACACAAGCCGTCGCCAAGGACGGAGAACAAGAGGGCAGGGCTCTGCGCAACCATCGAACAAGCCGTCACTATTGCAACAAAACGGTCTGCAAAGTCGCACGCCGTATTTCCGCCGCCGTTCTTTTCAATCTATCCACAGTCACGTTTCCCTCAAGAAGCCCACTTTTGGGGTTATCAACCCGTCTTCTTCTTCTCCACCCAACACGACAGCCCCTTGTTTTCTCTGCGGCACCGCCCAGCTACCATGGTGCCGTTTCCCACCAGAATCCCCTAAAGTGCGACTTGGAGTCAGTCTAAGATACCTTCAGGCTCTGTCTCCCTGGCGTAGCATACTCCTGGCACTCACCATTGCCTTCAGTCGCCTGGCTCCTTTCCGGCTTTTCAAATTCCAATGAAATTGTTGTGTCGCCCACAGATCTAGAACACAACTCCACGCAAGAAGACATATTATTAGCGACACACA